CGGCAAGAATGAAGCTGCTTAAATAGGTAGACCTAGTATTTAATATCTTTCCCTATTTTTTTTCTTCATTCCATAACATGTTTTATGTTTTCGTTGGAAACCAATTCATTCTATAACAGTTTTTTTCCATTCCATACATGGACCTTTTTGTATAATGTAATGTAGCAAAATTATACATCTTTATATTCTGATGAAATAAAATACATATATTTCATGAAAAAAATATAATGTATGTTTGTGTATATATACATTATAAATCATATATAATTTAAGAAAATTCATGTATATATGCATATGTTGTTTATACACGTATTTTATATTTAAATATATATCATCGATCCATTCCATAACATATTTTTTTCTTTTTATATACGGACCTTTTTATTCAACTTAATCCTAGCAAAATTATATATCTGTATATTTTAATTAAAAAAAATACATGTATTTCGTGAAAAAAATATAATGTATGTTTGTGGTATATTATAAATCATGTATTTTTTTAAGGATAAATCATCTATATATGCATATGTTATTTATACACTTATTTATATTTAAATAGATATTATTAATATACCATTTATGTTTTGCACTAATATAACGTGCATATTTGTATAAAAGTGTATTAATGTAGAGAGATCCCTTAGTTAATGGAGTAATTAACGTGAAAGTGCAAAAGAAGTCAAAAAAAAAAATATGCCGTTTTTGGAATAAAAAAAGTCTGCTATCATTTATGACAATATTATTTAAAAAGGGAGCAACCATGTAAAAATCCCTACTTTTTAATATTTAAATAGTATTCTCATTTCCCAACCTCTACTTTTTGTGATTCCATGTAGTTGCTCATATTTTTTTATTTTTCCTTATTTTCTTCATTTAGCATAATTGTGTTACTATTCTAGTTTTGAAACTACACCTCCTGATATTAGAAACAATGAGTCATAAATAAATTTGGCATATAATGAGTGATGTCATTAAAGTTGAATCTCGTTGTTGAATGAGATTATAGACTTATATTTTCCTTTTCTTTTGAATTATATTTACTTAAAACCTGAAGAAAAAGAAGTGAATACTTTGCTGAGGAGCGAAGCTTCGTGTTTGTTTTTCGTTTGTATACCAGTAGGCTATTACGACGCACCGGAGACCTTCGGCCATAAGACTTTAGGCGCAACGACGCAACTATTATATGACCACTCACGCATTGATACGTGAATACGATGGGATACGACGGCCAGTAATGTCTTTCCGTTGGTATGTAGTTGGATCGATGCTTCGCCTCATCCCTGCTCCTTGGAAACCTTGACTCTTCAATAAATTAGATTCATCTTAACTTGAGAAAAGTGGTACTTTCTCTTTGCCTTACCGTCTTTTCTCTGCAGATCGACCACATAGTCCGAAGTAAGGTTAGTGACGAGAACTTAGCTATCTTATGGTCAGGTTTTCTGTTTACTACCCTAATAACTACACCAATTTCAATGACCTGGTGACTTTACAAACAGACTCTAAATAAATATCCTCCACAAGTTGAAAGGATCTTCATAAAGATGCAAGGGAGAGCTTTAAAAATCAAGAACTTTCAGAATTCCTCTATGTCACGACCCGGATTTCCCACCCTCAAGAGTCGTGATGGCGCCTACTAATAGGAGCTAGGCAAGCCAATTAATTTAACACTTCTCTCAACATCTTTAACAAAATAAAGAAGAACAAGGCAATTAATATAAAAGCGGAAGTCTCGAAACATAAATAACAGAAACCAAGTGCGGAATTTTAAATACACCTCTACCCAGATCTGGTGTCACTAACTCACGAACTTCTACTGAATGCTAAATACAAAGTCTGAATGAGAATACAGTACTGTCTGATCCGATACAAGGGAAATCAAACCAAAGACAGAGATAAGAGAGAGACTCCGGGCCATGTGGACGCCAGCAAGCTACCTCGAAATCTCCGGACTGAAGTAAGCTCCCAACGCTCCTACTGCTGAACAAAGGCTCCTGCTCCGGTACTATGATCTGTGCAAAAAGCACAGAAGTGTAGCATCAGCACAACCGACCCCATGTGCTGGTAAGTGCCTGGCCTAACCCCGGCGAAGTAGTGACGAGGCTAGACAGGACCTACCAAAAACAACCTGTGCAGATATATATATATATACACAAAGGCAACAGAAATAACAACAGAGAATATCAACTAAAAAGAGGAAGGGGGCATGCTCGGGGAAAATACAGCGAATGCAGATCAACGGATATAACGACGAGACTATCTCAATACCATAACTCATATATAAGTGGTCGGCGCGCCACACGATCCCATTTCTTAATTCATAAGTGGACGGCGTGCCACACGATCCCATTTCATAATATATAAGTGGTCGGCGTGCCACACGATCCCATTTCATAATATATAAGTGGTCGGCGTGCCACACGATCCCATTTCATAATATATAAGTCGGTCGGCGTGCCACACGATCCCATATCATAATATAAAAGTGGACGGCGTGCCACACAATCCCATATCATAATTCAAAATATCTGACTTTGTAAAGAAGGCCCCATTAGGGCAATTCGACAACATAACACTTTAACCCGGCAAGGGTACAGCTAACAGCCCAAATATCCCGGCTAGGGAGAGTACATAATAATAGTCTACACGTCCCGGCAAGGGAATAATCACAACACACCCTCTTTTAAATCACTTCTTTCTCAACTATCACATTCTTGTTCGAGCCAACGCTCCAAAATATACCAATCACAATTCCTCCTCAACCGTTCACATTATAAGAAATTTATTCATTAGACAAGGTAGTAGTGTCACATCATTCGAATTAAAAACAATTAAGACTCACGGTCATGCTAGACACCGATGCATAGACACTGTCACCATGCCTATACACCGTACTCCACATTTAGCAAGTAGCAAATAACATCCTAATCCTATTCCCTCAAGCCAAAGTTAGAACAAACACTTACCTCGGTCCAAAGAATAACAATCAACCCTCAAATACCGCCTTTCCTCTACAATCCGACTCCGAAACAATGGTATCTAGTCATAATTAGTTCAATAATATCAATAAGGGCTCAAAAACATAATCTCATAGCCTAGAAATGAAATTCCAACCATTCTCCAAAAACACCAAAATTCGACACCGGTCCCACATGGTCCAAACACGAGGCTCGGAACAAAACCCAATCACCCATAACCCCACGAGTTCAAATATATAATTTATTTCAAGATTCGACCCCAAATTGAGGTTGAATCACCCAAAATCCCCAAAGCCCTAACTCTACCCAAAACCCCCATTTTCTACTTTGATTTCATGATTTAGGGCTAGGAATTTAGTGATTAGATGAAGAAATTAAGGGAGGATGAAGTTAAGAATACTTACCTAAGAAGCTATGGAGGAAAAGGCCTTCAAATTTTGTCTATGGAGTGTTAGGGAGAAGAGCTCGTGTGAAAAAAATGAGGAATTCCCGTGCTGCTACTATTCTGGACATTAAAAATATAACTGGGCAAAATTGCCCTTCGCGTTCGCGGGAAAGGGGCCGCGTTCGCGAAGGGTAAATTGGGCAATGCATCGCGAACGCGTGAAAGGGAACGCGAATGCGTAGAGGAAAAATGCTGGGGTCCAAGATTGGCCTACGCGAACGCGTGCTAAGGGACGCGAACGTGATAGAGGACATAACAAATCATCCCGAACGCGATGGCCAGAGCGCGAATGCGATGAAGGGAAATACTGGGGCTTTAATTTGGCTTACGCGTTCGCGAGGGTGAAGACGCGAACGCGAAGTGGGAAGGCACAGAACTATGCGGACGCGGACCTGGTGACGCGAACGCGATGAAGAAAACCCCTGTGCAAAAATTGCAGAAAATCTGCTAACTTCTTAAGTGCAAAAACACCCCGAACCAATCCAAAACACTCCCGAGCCCTCGGGGCTCCAAACCAAATATGCACACTGACTCAAAAACATCATACGAACTTGCTCGAGCGATCAAATCGCCAAAATAACATCAAAATCAATGAATTGAGCCTTAAAATCCAAGAAATCTTTCAAATTTCATAAACTTCCAAATTTTCCAATTTAAGGCCGAAACACGTCAAACGACGTCCGTTTTAAACCAAACTTTACAGGAAGCGCTTAAACAACATATATGACCTGTACCGGGAGTCGGAACCAAAATACGAGCCCGATACCATGGTCTTTTAATCAATTTTCGTTTCCATTTTCCTTAAGAATTTCAGAAAAACAATTTCACAGAAAAATTCATTTCTCGGGCTCTCGACCTCGAAATTCGACTCCGGGCATATGCCCGAGTCTCATATTTTTCTATGGACCCTCCGGGACCGCCAAATCACGGGTCCGGGTCCGTTTACCAAAAATGTTGACCAAAGTCAACTTTAGCAATATTAATATCAAAATTCTTCAAATTTTTCACAAAGTTCACATATTTCAACATAAAAGCTTTCTGGCTTCGCGCCCGAACTGCGCACGCAAATCGAGGCAACTAAAAACGAGGTTTTCAAGGCCTCGGAAGCACGAAAATAGGAAGAAGTCCGGTGATGACCCCTTTGGGTCGTCACACTCTACAAGTTGAAAGCAATGAAACATTTCCATACTAAGTTTCAAGTATTGAAGCATTTCCATATATGAAAAAAAGAAAACATTTCCATACAAGTTTCAAGTATACAAAGATCAAGAGCAAAAATAAATCAAATACTCAAGGCGTTCCAAATCAAACTTACTTGTTCGTGGCTTTTGATCCATAATTATTGTTCATGACAGTCATCAAATTAGTTCTTCTCTTTTATTGTTGATCCAATGGCTTGATAGCTTGATCTTGAGTTTAAGTTCTTCTCTTAGAGAAGCTCTACAGCTTGCGACATTCATTGTGTACTAATTTGTTACATGATTTTTCTTGTCTTGAAGCAAGTTTTACTAACCCAATGGCGCAGACACCTACTAGGTTGAGGCATAGTTTCACATGCACGATTTTTTGTCACAGGCATATTGCGATAGTAATACAAATTTAAATTAATTATCGAATCATAGCAATACATAAGTGAGGAATGACGGGTAATATGCCCATTGTTCTGCTACAAAAAGGACAAGAGACTCAATATGATTCGCATCAATCATTTCCCTCGGTGGTGTTTGAGTTTCAGGCAAACATCTTTTGCTCATTGGCTAGAACTCAAAGCAAATAGTAACGTTTGCTGCTGGTGCCTGTTTTGAGCCACATCCAGCAAAATTTTACATGATTCCTAACTGCTATCATTAAATCCACTGGCTTCGTCGTGCAGCCCATTTTAAGGTTGGATGTAGTACTGGCAAAATAGGAAATTATGACCTCAAATAACCAGAATGCAGCACCGACCTCAAATAACCAGATTAGCACATAATGACCCCATCGGCACCAACTTAGATCATCTTCGACTGCCCCGTTGTCATTTCTCCATCTCCTCCTGAATATGACCGTCTGCATTAAAAGATGATGTTGGATAAAACATTGATGACCACTCAAATATTACCAAGTCCAAGCCAGCAACAAAATCTAAACTCTAACCAGGAAGTCCAACAGCCAAGTTCGCCTGCTGATCCGCATCACAGTTTGATTCCTGACCAAAAGAGAGTTGAAAAGTTTTACATCTCCAAAAATAGCAAGGGAAGAACAAGGTAATTGACCAAACCATAGTGAGGGCTCTAATCCAAATTTGGTGCTATTATATAATCAATTTGTGATTGATAGAGTGAAACAAGCATATAAACCAAGAACAAAGGGGTAGAGAAGATTTTTTAGGTTACCCGAAGAACATGAATGATGCGGAAAGAAAGAAACCTATCCTTCAGTTGTTTTGCCTGCTGAAATAGCGTAGAGATGTTTTGATTTTTAACCTTCCACAGACCCTGGATCTGTTCGGAAGGATATACAATTTAATGAATCAAAACAAAGCAGATAAAAGAAAAGAATAAAATAAGAATTCTAACTATAAAATAAACTCTGATGACACCACTGCAAAAAACCTTGTCAAAAGACCAACTTTAGAAGCTATAATAAACATCTCGGAGATATGACTAAGCTCGTCAGAGACTTTAAAGAGTTCATAGAGAAAACAATTGTATGTTGATTATTTTTCCCACTAAGAGAATCTTCTTGAATGGACAAGAACTATTTGCCAGCTTCTACATTTTCCCTCTCTATCTTTAGCCAGCAGCAAAAGGAATCACTCTTTTCGGGGTTTGTCCAACTCAGCCAATTTACTGTAAACTCTAGATCAATGGCATTGTCATTAAAGCATGCAGCCACTATTTGTCTAGGAACATCTGTTAAGATTTCCCATTGCCTTGAGATACTCAAACCAGGTCGTCTTGCACTAGGTAAAACTGAACACTGATGACGGAGACCTGATTGATTCCCCCATTACCAAACTTACCAAACTTCATTCTTTTTCAACTGAGAGTCTTTAGTTGGATCGCAAGTTAATCACTACTACCTTATGCTAGAAGGTTCATTTACATTATAAAAGCTCTATCCTATAGAAACAAAAGAACTACATTGAAGTGACTTGCGAAATGGGCCCACGGTCGAAAAAAATTGTAAGACCTCTTTATCCTATAGAAACAAAAGAACTACATCGAAGTGACTTGAGAAATGGGTTCATGGCTCGAAAAAATTGTCAAGACTTCCTTGACCTTTTTTTAATTAACCGTGGTATCTGGGCTAACCTGCATGCACCTCGACTAATTCCATCCAGTACCTACTACCTCCCACCACCTCCCACCAGCACAGAGATACCCGGTAATTCTATCCACCAAAGCTTTGGATATATGAGAAGAAATCACCTAGTGTTTTTGCCTCCGCTGGGATTTGCACCTGAGACCTTATGGTTCTCAATCCTCTTCATTGACCATTACGTCACACCCTTAGATGCCCTCCTTGACCTTAAAATATGCATATAAGGATCCCCATTCATATAACTGAAGTTGAAAGAACGAAGAAAACTTTGCTTGACGTACAATTCCAAGTACATGTTTGATTGTGCAGAGACACAAAGGAGAAAAGTAGATATCAAGAAATAAGAAGAAGAAATACAAGAATAAACAAATACTATGGGCAACGGACCTGCATACAAACAAGTTTGGAGTCACCCTGAGCACGAATACTTGTAAACCCTTTGCTATGTGCATATTTCAAACCCAAGATAAAGCCTCGATATTCAGCAACACTGGTTGTTGCTATTCCTAAACCTTCACGCAGCCTACAAATCTATTAATCAGAAAGTTATAATATAAGTACGACGAGAATAAGAAAAAGGAAATACAAATCCAAGAAAAGTAATTATTACCAAACTTCCGTCATCTGCTCGTACTACAGCTCCTGCACCAGCTTGTCCCGGATTTCCTTTCGAAGCACCATCAAATTCAAGAGTACAAGATCGCTGCTGAGAATAACCACGATCAGGTTCTTTCCATCCCAACACCATAAACCATCAAGAAAATTTATAAGAGATCGACCTGATAGTTGGCCGCAAATTCACCATAAATTCATTAAATTAAGATTTATTAGCTTCACCGACTTCCCATTGAGTATAAAGACAATTCATTTTGTTAATTAGATATACTGAAAGCATTTATGTTTTACAATTAGCTATCATCTTAACAGCCACTCACACCAGATGATAGAGCTTGGTCACCCTTAGGAAGATCTAACTTGATATGCTTTCTTAGGGAATCATTTGAAATAACTGCTGATCCATTAGCATCCTGCAAATAAACATGCCAATAAACAAGACAGATTCCAGTACTGTGGCAAGCCAAACACGTTATGCAGGGCGGGAATAACAAGAAATTAGTATTTCTTTTTTTTTTTTTGGTAAGAAATGTAAGTAAGTAGTACTTTTTTCATCAGTCTAAGTACTAATAGAACTACTTTGAGCCAAAAATTTACATAATATATCCAAGAGCCAGATAGTAGAATGCAGTACAGCAACAAAATACCATTGAAATTATACAGTTTGACAATCGCAACTCTATGTACTTCGCATACAAAAAGATGTCAGAATTCATCAAATTATACTACTTCCGTTTCAAAAAGATTGTCTTAGTTTGACTTGGCACAAACTTAATAAAGAAGGGAAGACTTTTGAGATATGTGGTCTTAAATAAGCCACAACAATTGTGTGGCCGTAAAACTTTTGAAACTTGTGGTCTGAAACTTGCCATAGCATTTGTGTGGCTATAAATGCTTCCTATTAAGGAAATATTGAAAGGTGCCAATCATTTTGGAACAGACTAATAAGAAACTAGTGCCAATCTTTTTGAAACAGAGGGAGTAACATTTGAACAACCTAAATATGTTCTCTATCAACCAATAGGTGGTAACAGTTCCTCCCTAATGCTTAATGCAAACTTCGCGATAAAGTCTTTCGGTTAAGGTAAGAACACTAATCACCCAGCTAAACATCCAAACGGCAGCTCCATTAAAGAAAAGACAATGGTTATCCATCTAGTTCATTTAAACTACTCACACTCCCGAAAATTCATCCTAAGTATTTGTTTCGAGGAAAAAGGTTTCTCATCTAGTTATTAAACCTATCCTGCACTCCTGAAAGTTCAGGACTATAGCTCTTAATTATCTTTTTCACTAACCAGACTAGTAATAGAAAATCTTTTTTATTATGACGACAAATCCGTCTAGGGTCAACACTTAGGACAACTGCAGACCAGTAATAGGAAAGTTTTTATCCATATTTGAGGTGCCCTTGAAAATGTTAGTCAATCAAGGGGGAAAGTTCAAGTCAGAAAGAAATAAAAGGGACATCAAAAGATGTTAACACATTTTCATATTTTTTTCCCCCATTTCACCATTTTTCTGTTTTATCAAAGCACAGACGTGGTGAACTGGGATCATCCAGTCATCTAATGAAAATACTTGATACACAGGTCACACATAATTCCAGATCTCCACAATGCTATTAAACCAGAGGACAGAAATGTTTGTCAATTTATGTGGGAGAAAACAGGAAGAAGGATACTAATATCTCTTGTTTATTCTTCCTTCTATGTTATTGATGTCTCTCATCCAAATAACTTATTGCTATAACGAGAAAAGACACCTTTTGCTACAAACATTATTTTCAGATCTCTAGCTACATTTACTAGGATGTGGCTCTTTGTAATGAAGTTCAATCTTATAAGTGCAATACCCTACACGAGTTCATTAAGATAAAGAAAAAAACAAAGATAACAACAGCTGCAAAAATTTGTTGACAAGCTACTTTTCTTATAAGCCACTCAGCATGACCAAATTTTATTTTATAAAAATACCACTACTTGTATTTTTGAATTTTTTTATAAGCATCCAGCATGACCTATTTTTGTGTTTGTTCACACAAATACAACATCTGTGGAGATCTGTAGACAAATTACTACTGCTACTGCTATATCGAAATATTACTACACCAGCTGCAGAAACCTGCTAACAAACTACTACTATTCCGTTTAAATACATCTAGCTCATCAATAGGTGCTTTATGGGAGACTTTCAACCTAATTAGATAATCATTGTCTTCAAAAAAGGGCTACCAAGACATAATAGAAAAACAACTATAGTTCACTCACAATGGATTAGTATAAAATTTTCAAATTGAAAATGCAGATCTACTTTAGGAAAGGAAAATGCCTTCCAGCTGAATAAGTAGATTTCTCGTGTAAGTTGTAGTTGCTCCGACACGGCAGTTTATGTGCCGCACCCGTATTGACACGACACTAGTATGGGTGGGGGTATGGGATCCGAACCTGATCTAGTCAAATAATTTTGGGTACTTCAACCACGACGGATGGAAACATTTGAAACGAGATAAAATTTGATAACCGAAATCAGAACAAAAACTAGGGTAAATTTGAAGAAAATAGCAATACCTTACCTAGGAAATCAACCCTTTACTTATCTACAACTTGAAAAAACGACTTTACAAGCTATACATAAGTATTTCACAAAATTTCTCATAATTAATATATATATATATATATATATATATATATATATATATATTTGGAAGTATATAAAGTAAGTTATCATCTTACCTTGGATGTTACATATATTGAAGATCATGAACAACTAGTGCAAAGAGGGTTGGAAGGTTTAGAAGCTAAGGAATTGAAAAAAATAATGTTTCGTCGAAAGTCGACAAGTTGGGAATGTGATAACATATACTTTAGGGTGAGACTAAGGTTCTTAACTTGATAAGAAGGTTATGTTATGAGTTTTGGCGGTTGCATGATAATCGTGTGTTACGTTTAAAATCAAGTGAGTTGTGGAACAAAAGTCGATGAAAGTCATCACAAGTTACATTCATAAGTTTTACTGAAATCTTTGGTCGAATGTAACTGCAATTTTCTCCCATATACATAGAATTATGGGGTGTTCCACCCATCACATTGAAGCTCTATTAGTCTACTTTCTAACGCATTAAACTATTTGTCGATACAACATTGGAATTGAGAGATATTCACGTTTTTGCGAGACTGCGCAGACTGGTAGGTCACAAGTAGGTGCATCACCTACTTACCAAAAGGAGAGGCGTCAATTAAAAGCTCCAAGGTCGGCCAAAGAGACCTTTTAATGGCTGATTTCCTATATATATATATATATATATATATATATATATATATATATTATTTTTATTTTTTGAATTATTTTTAGCCGGATCCCTGCACCCGTATACGTACTAGGATCTGTATCCCCAAATCTTAGAATTTACATCTCGAAGGATCCGATCTCTAGATCTGCACCCTTGTCGGATACCCGCACCCGTGTCCGAGCAACTTAGAATTTAGACCATTGATTATTGCATCTTAAAGAACATTCAGCAAACAAACCCCTAGTGTTACAAGCAGCCTTTATATCCAGAGAGGTGCAAATAGAAGAATGTATTCACTTCCTTGGATAACCAAAAACTGTTGGCACATTAAGTTAACTCTCACTGTGTGGTACAAGAATGAGATATACTTCAAAAGCAACTGCTGCAAACACCGACCGACTTGCAATAACCTAATATAGCCCTAACTTACCGTATATTCTGACCACATTGCTTCCTGTGACCTCTTCTTCGGCATATGCTCAGGCGCTCCACTTTTGGAAGAAGATGGCTGCTGCAAAAGATTTAGTGCTAATAAACTTCTATGACCGATTCAAAAGGAAAAAGAGGAAAGGGCAGACATGTGCCATTTCTGGTAAATGGTCATCACATACTTTCCTATTACAATCAGCTTGTTCGCTATGGACTTGTTATCACGAACAGTGCTCAGAAGAAGAAAAGATAAACTAGATACAGCGAGAGGAGAGAGAAAAATCATATAGCAAATTAGAGAGACGTAAGCATCTTTCAGCAATCTTTATAAGTACTACTGAAAACAGGAGTATTCACATCAATAAGTAGGAAATTCAACTTATATCGAGTACAAGATAATTATTGAATCGGCTGCATTTAGAGATGATCTTTGATAATATTGACTATGCAGAAGAATAGAAATATAGTATCTGTAGTGTACCACGTATAATGTAATTTACAGAAGCTCACACTTCCTCCCTGTACCATTTGTTCATATAGTATGGAAACAGCACAAAATTTGTAATCTTTTCCTTAATAAGGGGATCAGTGAGGACCTGAGGTGACAAGTCTTCATCCTTCTGTATCATAAAGGCAGAAACTGAGTTTTAAATTTAGAGTATTCCAATGCAAACAACATGGTGAGACTTCACCAACTCTGCTAAGGACAGCAAGCATTAAACTTTTTCTCTATGCAACAAAATCAGCCAGAGAATCATGGTTTTACTTCCAAAGATGAATTGCAATGAATACATCAGGATTCTATCTTTTCTCTTTTGGTTTTGTCTCTATTTTAGGTTTCTTTTTTATAGGTGGTATGAACTCTATCATAAGTGGAAAGGAGAGTTTTTAGTAATCAAGTAGTTTTCACAAGGAACAAACATGTTATTGGTCTTACATCAACCACACAATAGGATCCACAAGTCAAAATTTGGATCAGACGGATCAAATTTAACTGTTTCCTTCATTTTTCCTTTTTCTTTTTCTTTTGGAAATCTTGTGTGTCATCCTGGAAAGAGAAAGGTATCCTGAATAAGGTTGTCCAAAAGTTCTGAGATGAAATACCTTATAAAAGATAAATAGACAGCTTTTGCACACAAAATAGTACAATGTCTAACCTGAAAAGGGCATGGTACTAGAGTCCCAAAGAGACCTTCAGTCAGATCTGCAGCTCTGATAGAATAAAGTGCATGTTTAAGCCCACAAGATAGAAGATATTCCTCTGTGTCCTTTGGCATGGAGTAGCCTTTATACACACTAACCGGAGGATCACATATCTGCCAAAAGGGGGGGGGGGGGGTGGGGGGGACACGTGTACTAACACGAC